GATTCTTGATGAACAAATACGCGGTTAACGTTGCTGCTTAAACTCGTATCATGAACACTCCTTAACGTATTGTAACATTTAACGGGAATCGCTCATCTAAAAGTTCCATTTGTATCTAGTGTAGATCTTGTTAAAATCTTTCTTCAAAAGCATCTTTTCCTTCTTCTTCTTCTTCTTCTTCTTCTATTGTTCGTCTGCGTATATACCCACAGAAAATAGAGTATTTCCTAAATTCAGCTTAAAATTAGCCAGTTTCACAGTTGAAAAACTTCTCACTATGATCCGTCTCGTCAAAATTATGCGAAGGAAGACGAATGGATTCGTCAAAAAATAAACGGCGTTCAGCAAAAGCACGTCCTATAGTATTTGGTACGATTGTATTCATGTTGTGATTTCGTGTCCCCCTCTTTAAACACTTGTTTCCATTCTGACTTTTCTTCTTCTTCTTCTTCTTCTTCTTCTCTTTTTTTTCTTTAATCGATTAATCATCTATCTATTTACATTGTATTGATTGCTGTTTAGCTGGAAGCTAGCACCTGGTACCAGCTACAAACTGGACTATCACGAGAGCACGGGACCAACCTCGGTCGCATCTTTGCAGTCTTGAATGGACAGTTGGGCTAACTCGCTTGTTATTTCATCTTGAGTGGTTGAGTCTGCTTTCTTCAATATCATATATGCCGGTTGTATCTCATCGTTCTCGCCATTAATTTTAGAATTATTATTCTTCGATTGTCCATTTGTTTTTCGCTTGTTTGATATTTCTTCGCCGGACATGCCGGGGTGAATCTTAAATACACTCTTGATGATGCTGTTAACCGTCTGAGAACGTTTCGAGCTGTCGTTCTTTTGATCAGAAACGAATCCAATCCGACTCGTTCTGTTATTCTCCGTATTTTCCTTGTGCTTGTTCCCTTTCGCGACCGTGACTTTCGACTTTGAATATTTCTGATCGGATGAACTTTGTCCGTTTGGAACGTCCGTACTTTTCATCTCTTGTTGCTTCTCCTCTGGAGAAGCAGGCGTACTGTCTTCGACAGAATTCGTCGTATTCGCTGCCGTTGATTCTGAAGTGTGAGTATCATTTGGTTTCCTAGATAGCTCCTGGCTATCGGATTCATTGTTCTTCTTAACCTCCTCGTCTAAATCCGTTACTTGCACGTTCTTCGTTTCGTCCACCGAAGGATCCTTCTCTGCGACTTTATTATTATCATTGAGTATATGATGATTTGCATCTTGCCGATCGTTCGACGGCATCTCGCGCTGCAACACCTTCACAGGACTCTTCGGTTTCGCGCCATTCTCGGACGCGTCCTTGTTCTGACAATTTGTACAGGAAGATTGTTTGGAATGAATAGAATTCATTTGCCTCTTACTGGCGTTATTCTTCTGCGCGACACCCATATGCGGCCTACCTAGTCTAACAACGTTAATCGATGAAGTCGTTTGAATATTGTACGACGCTGCGGGCTCATACTGTGGAATCGGTTGTACATGATTGCACATGATCTGCTGCTGTTGCGGTTGCATTCTGCGCATATCAATGTGCATCGCGTTGTCCATTCGCTGCTGGTAAGTTATATACTGTTGGAAAGGTGCTGCTAAATTCGTATTCATAGCTGGATTAACATTGGCGTTCGTGGCTGGCCCGTAATTAAGGCCGGTGTTAGGATGAACGTTCGAATTTACGTACTGAGGTACCATTTGCCTTGGTAACTGCTGAAATTGATATTGTGGCTGCACCCCTGGATATGCAGGGCAGTTTTGTTGCGGAATATTCTGCACCATGTTATCTCGACGATCTCTGGAAGCAATCGGCGTGATCCGAGGTACGTTTCCATGATATTGTTGTGGTATTAATTGCCCGGATTGATACATCTGATCGTTTTGCGTAATTACTGGATTCTGAGGTTGGTGACCATAGCCTTCGTAATGCATGGCTTCGTTACTTATTGCCCTGCCGTATGCTATACTCGAGTGATACTGCGGAGGTTGCGACGTGTAATCTTGCTGCTGATGATCCTGATATTGAGGATACTGAGGAACGGGTGGCTGCGCGTCGATCCATGTTTCTTGCTGCGGTGGCGGTTGCTCCATATCTCGCCTCGCTTGCACCGCGTTCCAAACTTCTTTCAATTCACCGGTAATATCCCGATCTTTCAGTATTGTATACTGCCGCATAAACACTATGCCTGTATTCATCTTTTCCACAAAGTCTAGTAAAAGTTCTATCAAGCTGGAACGCTTCTGCAGCAAAAATAGAGCCATGCAGGATATTGTTCTTCATAAATGTGTTCAAGCATAACAATTGTGTACTACAAGTACCTTTGGATCTTGAGCGTTTTTGCCGTTAATTCGAAGAACTTCGGGATTAGCCATTACCGCGAATACTACTGCCTCTGTCTTTGTACGTGGTGGGCGAACTCTCATTCCTCCATAAAATCGTACCGGCTGCGACGGGTTCAATGGCATTGTGATCTTCTCCCAAGATAGAACATTCACGTAACATGGGACAGCAGTGCCCTAAAATAACAAAGCCAGTTTGAAAGTTTCTTGAATGTGTTCGTGCAGAGCTCTTTTTTGTGTCTAGCCATACCTGTATGAAGTCTTGTATACACATGTGAGGTTGGGGAGGGTTTTTAAAAAGACGAGCGCCATTGCGCTTCATTCTAGTGGCACCACCTTCTGTCATCTTTCAACTAAAAACAAAGATATTTTAAGTAAGAATAATAACTCACTGTTTACAAACATACAAACGAATTTATATGACACATTTGTTGTGACATTGTAAATAAATATCAATTGCCATTATTCACTTACTTTTATTGAAAAGTTTTATAATTATTTTACAACAACGTTCGTAACGAGGAAACAAAAAAAAAAAATAAAAGACGTCATATCGTTAATCATTGCATTTTAACGAACAATAAAGAGGAAAATTATCAGTTAAAAAATATCACTAATTATATCACGTAAGCATTACGATACGAATGTAAATAGCTGTAGTAGAAGGGGCGGTTGAAAATTCGTACCAACAAATGTGGCGAATGGCAATTTCAGCAAATGCGTCAAATTGCTGGCCAATTTATTTTTCAACAAACTTTTGTACCAGGAAAAATAAGAGCAACATGTCTAAATTGAATGCACCGTGCGCAAATTCCGTGAGCTCGCTTGAACACAGAAATCGAACGATTTCTACAATATCGCCGACGTGTTAGAGCCCTCTCGTTACGCGACCATCATAGACTGTCAATATAACCTCAAAATTCTTAAAGTTTACACGGGAAAATGTTGGGGACAAATATAAGCGGATGGTTTATTTGTATGACGCAGTATGTTCGAATAACGACATACAGTCTTGCGTTACGTAAACTTACCTCACGGTGTTGTTTCACGCGTGTAAACACTTAAACAATCAAAGATAAAATACGACACATTATCGGGCAACTTCGATGGAAAAGATTCATTGCTCCTTTTGTTTATTATTTTTCCGGAGTCTGCGCGGATCGAATCGATCACGGGCGCTACGCTGCCTTGTGCGCTGAACTAACGAACTAAAATATCCAAGATGGCTGAAACGGAAATCGTGCTTGACGCACCAGTGTGAAACGGCCTGAAAATTCCCTAGACTCTGACTTATTTTCTTATTTTAATGCAATTTTTATCATCGTTGATTTATCTATCGAATAAAATCTCAAGAAATCGAAAACATCATATTTGCTTCGATAGGATATAATAGCATTTGTAATTGTACCGTGTCACATTATACAGTTGTGAAATTCAAAAGAAACTAATCGATGAGTAATCGATATATTCGATTCGAACAATCGAATCATTTCAGTAACGAACTTTTTTTGTGGGAGCTGGATACGCGTGGCGTGTAGTGTAATTTCGAACGTATAACAGTGGTAATATTAATTACTAGAATAATGTGCAATTTTTAACGTTACAAATTTGTTACGGTAGTTGTGTTATTTTATTACTTCACACGTTACAACAATCATTGTTCACGTATCATCTATTATCACACGCGGTAGGACCATTGTTGGGAGGTAAGTTTGCATCTCTTTTGACATTATCTTAGATGCGTAGACGTTTCTTTTTCTTCACGTCGACTATTTTATTGCGTTTTCTTTCTTTTCTTATCTCACCAGTAACCGTACGCCACAAAAAAAAAAACACGTTTTATACGCGATGACACAACGCGTGTTTCTTACTGTGTTTGTAATCTGCTTTTATTTTGATCGGTTTTCCGCAGACAGAATCGTGATATTTACCATTGCACTCAAAATGGTACAAATATTTTTACCGTAACGCGCGCGGAAACATTTTACGTCCAACGGGACGTAAAAACCATATCTATATATACACGCGTTTCAATCATATTTATCATTTGTATTCTGCATTTCGCCATTTTTCGGCGACATCTGTCGCAGGAATAAAAACCTGTCCGTCGTGTAACTTTGAATAACAATATACCATACTCTGCGTACGTAATTATCCTTTCTACCTGATGAAAATCAGCGTAAATCGTCCAATTTAATTTCACTCCTTTGCTGCGGAGCGAGAAAAAAGGCCGTAATGAACGATAATCGACGCCATTAAATTGTCCTTAATGTACTCGACGAGCTGTCCAACGCGACGTTTCAAGAATATAGGAAAAAATGGAAGCTTGCTGGGATATCTCCGACAAACGATTTTTCGCCACGTTTGCACGCGCTCATCCCCCACCGAGCTAACCGATTTGGCTGTCATTATCTTGAATTAGCCCGAGCAATTAGCGGAATGATAATTGGCCGATCGATCGTTTCGAATAAGTTATCGTTGGGTTACTCGATCGTGCGCGATTCCGCGGCGATCGTTAGTGGCGCCACTCGTAGCACCAGTGCACGGTGCGTACGTGGCCGGGTGGATCGGAAGAGCATCGACGGGGCTCTGTCTTGATTCCACCGTATCATTATGACGCCTCGCAGGCAACTATCGATCCCGATCGATGATATTAATAGTCGCTAACTACAGTCTTCCACGCCGCTCGCGTTCCACGTTGTGCTTCGCCAGTCGATCCAGCGTTTTCTTCTTCTTTCTTTCTTTCTTTTTCCTTTTCTCTTTTTTTCTTTTTTTTTTTTTTTTTGTTCTCCTACAGCGTGCACATCATGGGACACCATGGGAATCGTTTCTCACTATCCTCTCTCCTGTAAATAAGTTCACCCACGAATTGCGTCAATCTCTCATTAAAGGCTAGACCAGACGATAAGGAGACCTTTCTCTTCTTCTCTGACTTCTCGAATGAAATAAAACATCGATTGCAAGCTACAGGCGAAGCTACGCGCGTAATTCTTCTCTCTCTCTCTCTCT